GGGAAGAGGATTGTAGGATCTAGATGGATCAAGGACACCACAAGCAAACTCACAGAATCAACTAACCTGGGCTCATAGGGGCTCAGAGACTGAACTGACAACCAGGGAGCCTGCATGGGACTGACCTAGGCACTCTGCATATGTGTGACAGTTGTAGTTTAGTCTTCTTGTGGAACTGCTAACAGCAGGAGCAGGGGCTGTCTCTGACTCTTTGGCTGACTTTTGGGACCCTATTCCTCCTATTGGGTCGCCTTGCCCACCCTTAATACAAGGGGAGGTGTTTAGTCTTACTATAACTTGATATGCCATATTTTGCTGATATCCTTGGGAGATCTGCCATTTTCTAAATAGAAAAGGAGGAGGAGTGGATGGGAGAGCAAAAGGGAGGTGTTGGGGGTGGTAGGAGAAGAGGAGGGAGGGGAAACTGCAGTAAGAATGTAAAAATATTAATAAATAAAAACTCAAAATCTTCCTGAAAACAAATAAGTCAAAAGATATAAAGACAAACAGTACTTTTTAGAAACAGATAAACCTAACTCTATGTGTACAAATTTTCTTGCTGTGCATGATGTATAGGGATTGCTTTGCTCTCTTTGTATGTCACAAGAAAGCAGATATGCAAGAGCAAGTGCCCTGATATTTAATGAGTCACGGAGGAGCAGAGAAGAGGTTCAGTGATCTTGCACTTCAGAGACCATGGATTAATCCTGCAGCCATGGGTCTGGAGTTAGTCTCTGTTTATCATCAGTGTGTAGTCACAGAACTGAGAAATAGAAACTCCATCAGTATTTCAAAAAGTGACATTTCTGCTGCTCTGAAGGAGCACAGAAGGTACTTCCCTCATTTTAGTAGGAAATGCACCGTATGACATGAAAGGACATACAGCTGTATAACACCTTATTTCCTAGTATGGTTTAAGATAAAAGACTTGAAATCCAGAGCTACATTACTGCAAGTATCTGCTTAATGGAAGTATACTTTGTGATTAAATTGGCATACATCAAGTATAATCAGAAAGGTTATTTACAGTGAGGAAACACATAATTCTGCCCTTAATGGAGTGCACACAATTACAGCTGTTGGTTAAGAAATATAACTTCTTTGGCTTTTGTGCTTAGAAACTTATCTTTTCTTTTATTGTTGGCAGTGGACGTACCCAGTTTAGGAAGGTGCACAAGGACATATTTGTGGCATGTAAAAAGTAATATTTGTGTTCCTAATGATTTGTTTGAGAAGTAAAGGGTAAACTGCCCATCTCTGGCTTCATGATGGATAAAAGAGAATCAAATGATTCAGTTTCAGAGCAACAGAGAACATCCCCAGTTTTTCTACGGAGCTAAGGTGGCTCACATATCCACAAGAAGCTCACAATGAGAAGGAACAAAGTCCCTCCAGGTGGCCTGGTCTGTGCAGGATCACTTGCTCTTACTAAGCAGAAGTGAACAGTATCATTTTGTTTAAGACCACAGCCTCTTGGACCAAGATACCCACTGTCCTTGCCATCCCTGAGAGCTTAGGGGTATGCAACTAGCACTGGAGCCACATGTAAAACGAAGGGAGAGAAAGAAGCGCCATGGTTTTCAGCAGGGACGGCTATGATGCTTTCTGCTGGTGCTGTAAATTACATGTTTATTTTGTTAGCATGAGACAGATGAATATTTCTACATACAAACTTGCCCAGCTAAAATCAAGATAAGTGATATTAATGTCCTATGGTCAGTATTATTGAACCTCAAAAGCAATAAACTTTATGAGTTGATAAATATTACATCTGCAACATAGTTAACATTCTTTTACTGTCTCAAGCACTTATTACACATTGTAACCGCAAGTCTACAATACATTATTCATATCTGGGGTGTCACCAAGTGATGGATTGCTGTAGGAGAGGCTGTCCTTTAAATAAATCAACAAATAAAAATGCAAATGTTAACATTTTCAGCCACAAACTTTACCCATCTTAAATGGGGGAATGAAAATTTCACATTATATTGACAGCCAGCAGAGAACAATTAAAAACCTATACCATGAAGGGAAAGATGACTGCCATGACTGTTTTCTTTTCCTGTACATGAAATGATATGGATATTTTAGGTGTTTTCCAAGAACAAAGGAAAAACATCTCTCCCAGCACTGAAACATGCCATCATCTTTTGTAAGCCTTTCATAAACCTTAAACATTCTTGGAATTTAGGGTGTGTAAGGCTTAAAATGTATTCTCTTCAAAGGAAGAGTCAGAATTTGTATAACGAAAAAGTCTATAAAAATGATTAGTGTACACTTTGAAATGCGAATGATGCAAATACTCTAGATTCTAAGGATGGAGAAGCACAAACGTGCTGTCCTGATTTTCACAGGACTGAATCATCTTCAACTCTGCACTTTGTATAACACACTGATGAAATGTCATTGTGCACTCCTCTAAAGATAGGATCGGGCGTGCTACATATTCTATTAGTCAGCCAAGTGCTTATTATTTACAAAGCTCCTAAGAATCTCTATTTAGCTCATCAGCAGTATTAAGGACCAGTAGATGAATAATCCTTTTCTTAACATCTGTAAATATAAGAATTTGCAGCACTCTTAACCAGGGCTTGTAACGCTCTGCTATGCTGATATTCAGAAAATTTATGGTCGTTCAGAAAATTTATGCTGAGGATGTTTTACAAAAACCTTTACAGGGAAACATTCTATTCCTACTTTTCATGCTTCCCTCTAAATTGAAATTCAGCCTTTACAAATACATTAAGGTTGTGTTAGAGATCACATCTTAGTGCTGTGGTGTAGCTTAGGGGTGGATTGTTTGCCTACTGTGTCCACAGCCCCGAGTATGCGGCCTAGTTCCAACTAACCAACCAAAAATGCCATTTAAATACTAACAGTAAGAAAATTCAGAAAATTTAGAAAATCTAGACTATTAGCCATTTCTAACTCAGCTGGGCCAGTCCATGTGAGTTGGATGGAAAGCTTCTGAGTACAAGCTTCCAAGCTCAATGTGAAGTGGTACAGAACAAAGGGAGCTCTCTCCACTCTTCAGAATCTTAACTCATTTGTTACTTAGCAAATCCAGCACTAAAAGAAAGAGAGAGGGTCAGCGGGGAAAAATGGGCAAACTAACTAATCACTGTGATTATGTCACCCTTGAAGTGGGTGGGTGGGGGGACTGGTGATGTTGGCCATTACACTACTTAAGTTAATGGCTTTGGAGTCTGAAATGCTGGCCCTGTCTTTTATCAGCTAAGGGTCTGTGATTGAAAGAAAGTGGTCTCCAAAGGGAGCAGCGTTATTAGAAGGTGTGCCCATGTTGGAGGAAGAGTATCCCTTTAGGGGTGAGCTTTGAAGTCTCTTTTGCTCAAGCTTCCCTCAGGAGATGTTCAGCTGACTTCCTGTTCCCTACAAGATGTAGCACTCTCAGCTCCAGCATCACATCTGCATGCATGCCGCCATGCTCCCTGTCATTATGATAATGGACTGAACCTCTGAAACTATAAGTGAGCAACCCCAACTAAATGTTTTCTTTATAAGAGTTGTCATGGTCATGGTGTCTCTTTACAGCAATGAAAACCCAAAGGAAGGAAGGTCTTAGACACTCAATCTCTCTAACTCATGGTTTCCCAATCTTAAAATGGGGATAAGTGTAGTCCTATCTCTACAGGGTGTGAAAACTAAATTAGATGACAAGTCAAGGAGCTTGGCACAGTTCTGGGTACACAGTACTCAAGACAGCAGCCTAACTTACTATCCTCTGCAGCATTCACTTCCCTGTTTTTTTGTTTTTGGTGTTTATCTTTCTGCCTTCAGAATTCATTGCATGCCAGTAAGAGCCACACTAGAACAAATACTGCTTCTCAAGAATGTGTAGGTTTGTCTTCTGTGGCACTGTACTTATATGAGACTTGGATAAAAGATAGCTCTATAGAGAACAAAGAGTTAAAACTCTTTCCTTTCTAAAACCATAAACCAAAGAATATATTTTAGAGTATACCTTTGAAATCACCGGCCTTGATATTAACAATTTAGGCAATTAAACTACAAATTAAGTCTTAAAATATATATTCATGTGATAATATGAGGTATTTAAGTACCCCAAACTAACCTTATCCCCAAGGAAACATAAACAAAGTCCTTTTGAAATGGATGCACATGTGTGTATGTATAAAATACTTGTATAATATGTTAATATGTGAGTTGCTATATTGATGTAAGAAGTTTTAAATAATATATTTCTTTAACTACAGAAATGGCTGGCTAAATGAGTAGCTCTTCTAAAGTCTCTGGTATAAATGAATGTAAATATACCTTTAGCAAATCACAAATCCACTGTGATTTGCAGAATTTAATCACTTAAAGTTGTTGCTGTGGGAGAATGTGCTTGTACACTGCAAAGATTTGTCACTCGTATTGGTTTAATAAAATGCTGCTTGGCCAGTAGCCAGGCAAGAAGTACAGGCAGGGCAACCAGATTAGGAGAATTCTGGGAAGAAGAAAAGCAGAGTCAGTCACTAGCCAGCCACCAAGGAAACAAGGCATGTAGAAAATGAGGTAATGCCATGGCCATGTGGCAGTACATAGACTGATAGAAATAGTTGAATTTAAGATGTAAGAGATAGCTAGAAATATGCCTGAGCCATTAGCCAAACAGTGTTGTAATTAATAGTTTCTATGTGTTTATTTGAGTCTTGATGGCCGGGAAAGAAAAGCGCATTCTCCGTCTATAAGTTGCAGACCAAATACATTACCTTCCATGATCAGCTGAGAAGGACCTGCTGCTAAGTGGTTTCTGTGGACAGGATATTTTGGATTTCTATGAAAATCCTTGCCAACTGTCATATCATTTCAGAAAGTGCAAATATAGAGAAAAGAACTAGGCAATGAATTTGGCAAACCTATAGCTTTATAATAAGTACCTCAAGAGTAAGGGCACTAAAACTGTCAAATTTTCTTCAGTCTTATAAACACTCTCCCAAGGAAAACACCAGTCAAGGGTCTCCCAGGCTCACCGTGAGGTGGTGTGCTGGGATGATGATGAGGCTGGGGTCATGGGATCCTTAGGGCTTCTTGTTGCCATAGGAGATGTGGATGCATCTTTTCTAATGGCTGTCACTGTCTCTGTATAAACAATAAAGGAAATAATTTGAGTACTCAATAAAAGAAATAAAAAGTTCACTTCAAGTAACAAAGAAGACCATTTGGAGTACCCCAAAATCTCAACAGATAACTGTTTTTTCCTCCTGAAAAATAACAGTGACAGATGAAAAGTTCTTTGTGTTGTTTATTTTCATACATATCAGTGATTTACATTGCCTCACTTAAAAACAAACAAAACCCACTCATCTGTACAGTAACAGAGAAGTTATTTTGTTTTTTGACATATTTGCCTATCATATTTCTCATGATTTGGCTTTACTGTGGAGATGTCTAAGAAGGTAAACTGTTTTAATCTGTTCCCTTTAACATTATTAACAAAAACGTTTTTGCAAACAAAACAGAAAATCGTAGCACCTTGCATCTCTAGACCTTTCAAGCTCAAGGAGTCTCTTTAAAAGCATTTAAGATTAGACATAAATATCTCATTTCTTTTAAAGAAGTCTCATTTGGACTACAACAAGTATTATGTGAAAGACCTGAGTAACATATCTTCATTTAGGGTCCTAGAATATTCCTAAGCAATAATGTATCTTTCTACAGTATGGGCTGATCTGGCCTCCGTTCCCTTCTAAGAGGTGCTGATTCATTACTTTTCACTTCCTGATGTTAAATAAAATGATGATAGTACTGAAAGGAGGCATTTTTCATTTTGGTTCTACCTTTCTACCTACTCTATCTATCTATCTATCTATCTATCTATCTATCTATCTATCTATCCATCCATCAATCCATCATCTATCTATCTACCTATTTTATATTTTTGTTCTTAATATGTTCTGGCTGCAGTTTCCCCTCCCTTCATTCCTCCCATTTCTCCTCAACCCACCTCCCCTCTCTTCAGCAGATCCATTTCTCCTCCATTTCCCTTCATAAAAGAGCAGGCCTCCCAGGGATATCCAACAAACATGGTATAACAAGATCAGTTAAGACTAGGCACAAGCCCCCAGATCAAGGCTACATGAGACAACTCAGTAGGAGGAAAAGTGTCTCAAAAGCTCATGAAAGAGTCAGAGAAACCTCCATCCCACTGTTAGGGGGTCCCACAAAATATCAAGTTAAAAACTATAACATATATGCATAGGACCTAGCACAGATTCATGTAGATCCCATGATTGTCACTTCAGTCTCTGTGGGCCTCTATGAGCCCTACTTAAGTTTTTCTTTTTGGTTTTATTTTATATTTATTATCTTTCAACAACATGAAATATCTTTGTCTTTATTTTGGAGAACTGTGAGAATTCTGTCACATTTTCTGTTGGTTTCTGGGAAACTGCTGCTCAATATTCATTAAAAGTTTATTTGGGAAGATCTACTCTTTCTTGTAGGAAAGAATGATGAGGTGGTTTGAAAGAAAATGGCTCCCAAAGGAGGAGGCACTATTAGGAGGTGTGGCTTGTTAGTGTAAGTGTGTTACTGTGGGGGCGGGTTTTGAGGTCTCCTTTGCTCAAGCTTCCCACAGTGTGACAGTCAGTTGACTTCCTGCTGACTTCTGGTCAAGATGTAGCACTTTTAGCTCCAGCATTTCTGCCTGCATGTCGCCATGCTCCCTGTCATGATGATAATGGGATGAACCTCTGAACTGTAAGGGAGTCACCCTGATTAAATGCTTTCTTTATAAGAGTTGCTGTGGTCATGGTGTCTTATCACAGCAATAAATATTTATTAAAAATGACTAAACCTTAATAACTTTCTAATAAGTATTTAAGTTATTAGTTGTTTTAAGAGTCTCTGGTTCTTTTCTGTTCCCCATCTTATGGAACTGGAGGTGGAGATCAAGTGCATATCCAACACTGCACAGCTATTGAGGGTGACACTGGATTAAATGCGCTCAGGTCTGCTAGCTATCTAGTCACCCTGTTAGATAGTTTGAAAAGGAAAACTAGCACCAACAACACTGTGCCTAACTGTTCTGGAGAGATGAACCTGGTGGTAGACTCAAGGACAGAAATAATAAAAGCTAGAGAGTTTAATATTACAATTTAGGACAGACAGAATAGAGGCAGGGGATGAAGAGAGGTAACAAGTAGAGACAACAAGTAGAGACAAAAAGAAGGGGTTTGTGGGTGAGCAGGGAGGAAAGAAGACGTTTCTGGAAGAAAAAGATTACAATTATTCTTTAGTCACTATCTTGGAACACGACACTAGTCTTTTTTGTTTTGATACTCCTGTTAAAGTCAGTTCTGACAAGTGATATCTATTGAAACTGAAGGAAGGGACTTTCAGAGGATCTAGGTGGTGTCCCCACTTCTAGAATGTACATCAGGTATGTATGGATTCCTTGGAAAAGCAGGCATAACAACTTGCATACATGTGGGGAGAAGGACCACAGATTCCATCAAATTCTGAAGGGTATGGATCCCAAAAAGGTCAAGAATGTTGCCTCTCAGGTATAGGTCCAGTTTCTTCTTGTTTATCTTTTAATTCTCAAAGCGTTTTAAAAGTTAAGTTTTCAAAAGCCACATGTTAGTTTTTAACTATATTTGTTCCTTTAATAAATTCTGATTTAATATTAAGTCAGCAATGATATATCTTCATCTATCCACAGAAATATACAACCCTATACAATTACAAACACAAATACAAAGATGTTACATGTTATAAAAAAAATCTAAGTTCTAGGAAGAATGGTATCCAATAGGTTAATCAAATTTTTATATAAATGCCTATGTTAATTCATGTGTGAACATACCTATAATTTTTGCTTATAAAGATGAATGGGGCCATTTCCTCTTTATATGTAGCTGGGTTTTTCTGCCTACCCATTAGTCAACTGCTGTGGAATATTATTTTAACTAGGCAAAGATGTGTTGCATTTTTTATCGTGCAGGATATTACTTTAACTGTGTAAAGGTGTGTTATGTTTGTTTGTGCTGCATTTGTTTCATGATGTAAGAATGTGTGTTTAATTATGTAAACATGCGCTGCATCTGTTTCAGCTTGCCTGCCTAAGGCATCTGATTGTTCTAATAAAAAGCTGAATGGCCGATAGCTAGGCAGAGAGACTGAATAGGAGAAATCTATGCTTGTGAAGAAGAAGAGAGGAGAGGATGAAGGAAACGCCCAGGGCCAGAAGCCAGGCAGCCACAGAGACAGAAAGTAAGAGAAGGCAAAAAGCCCTGAGGCAAAGGGTAGATAAAGAGAAACAGGTTAATTAAAATTAAAAGAGCTAGCTAGAAATGTGCCTACCTTAGGCTGAGCATTCAAAACTAGTAAGTGTCTGTCGTGATGTGTGAGCGGGTTGGTGGCCCCAAAGAAAAAAAGCCTAGTATAGTCAACATTTCTGATAACTTTTCATGGTGCTCAAAGAGTAAGAACTTCTGCTTCTGGGCTCTTTGTTAAAAACAGCTGAATTGCATCATATGTTCAGTTTAGGTTGAGGAACCCATTACACACACACACACACACACACACACACACACACACACACACACACACACACAAATGCTAGCATAACCTTTCCCCAGATCCAGTGATAGCACTGGTGGTTAGGACAAGTCCTGTTTCTGTCCCCAGCCATGATGTCTTTGTTTCTCAGAGTCAAGCACTATTTTGATTATTGTTTCCTTTCTGTTCTCTACAGCTTTAATATGTATTTGGCTTAAAAATGTTAATTATATTCTGTCAATTATAAAAAAATGTTCTTTAGCATTGGTGTTCTTGATTCTTTAAAAACTAAATAAGTTCCTAAGGTTTATTTCTGTTGATTGTGTGTGTGCAGTTTGCTCACTTTGATGCGTCCTCTTCTGTGCCATGCACTATTGCTGTGGGTGGGTACTGGAGTGTTCTGGTTTGGAGTGATTATGAAAAATAGAACTATGACAGAAGATACCAGTTATTTGCTGAAATGCACTGTTTCTTTCTTCCCAGCAGTGAGTCATACGACATTCCTCAGTTTATGCTTCAGTATGGTAAGGTTAACAATACAGGATGTTACATGCACCAATCAGCCTGTCCTATAAAAATGTTCCACGTTTCTGTCCCACAGCCCATTTTACCTCTTCCTTATCTACTCTGTGGCGGGGTCAGCAAACATCTTAGCTTTTGTGGGCCAGGCTACTAGTCACTATGCTCAATTCCGCGATGGTAAAGAAAACCAGCCAAGGTAGTATGTAGACAAAAAGCACAGCTGCATTCCAACAAGGGTTAGAGTGCCCTGGAGTTCAGGTCCCTTGCCTTGTTTTCAAAATTGTGTGTGTGTGGGGGGGGGGGTCAATCTTACAGCTGAATATGATACTCTCTGTAGGTTTTACACATAAGTTCTTCTAATTGCTTAGGAAATCTCCCACAAAAAAAAAAATCTGTGTTAAATGTGTTTTCCCCATCAACTGAAATGACCATGTGGGTTTGCCTTCATCCTGCTAATGTGGTGCATTACATTGACTGATTTTTCTGAATTGAATCACCGTTGCATTCCTGAGCTAAATCCCACTTGGTCATGATTTATCATCTTCTTAATATGCTGCCACATCCAGCTTGCTACTGTTTTGTTTAGGCTATTTCCATGCATATTTACAATAGATATTGGGCTACAGTTTGCTTTGTGGTTGCCTGGTTTCAGTACTGGGGTCTCTTTAAGTTAAGATGTAAACTTCCTGTTCTATTTTATGGAAGGTTGTGAGTAGCATTTGCCTTACTTTTTTTTTTCTTTTTGAGGCAGGGTTTCTCTGTGTTACAGCCCTGGCTTTTCTGAAATTTGCTTTGTAGACCAGAATGTCCTCAAACTCACAGAGACCCACCTGCCTCTGCCTCCTGAGTGCTGGGATTAAAGGTGTGCCCACCACCGCCTGGCTTGCACAACCACCCAGCCATTTGCCTTGCTTTTGAAAGATTTGGTGAAATTCTCTTGTGAAGCTATATGGATCTGGCTTCTTCATGAAAGTTTTAAAAAACAATAATTGCTAGATTCTGGTAATTTATGTGTTCATCCAGGTCTTGTAGTTTCTTGGCCTTTACTGTGTATT